TCATCCTCATACCTCCCAATGGATAATGGCACCACTACTTGCTGAGATACTTTCATCTCACCCTCTTCACTTAACCATTGCAGCCTGTAAGGTTTTGGATGCATCTGAACTTGCAAGCCAAGTTTCTGAACCATTGTCTCACTTGCTACATTGACACAGCTCCCCCCATCCACTATGAGACTGCATATCTTTCCTTGAAACAGACACCTTGTATAGAACAAATTCTCCCTTTGCTCAGGCTCCTCGGTTTTGGATTGTAAGTTCAAAGTCCTTCTTGCTACAAGCAGCCTGCCACGCACTGTTTCTTCCTCGTGCTCATCTTCTGAACTTGTTTCTTGTTCTGCCCCTAACTCTTCTGATTCGTAATCACCATTCTCAAGCAAAACCATTGCTTTCTTGTTGGTACACTCACTAGCATAGTGTCCACGGCCTTGGCATTTGAAACGCTTGACATCTCTGGATCTTGTCTTAGAAGATTATGCCTTGCCTTTCCCTTTGTAATCAGTGCTAGTCTTGGCTTCTTCTTTCTGATATGACTTGCTCTCCTTCTGATAACTCGGCTTCTCTTCTTTGGAACCGTGGAACCTTGATGTTCCTAATGTTTTAGTAGTAATATGAGTTTAGAATGAGATTAGGAAGAGATTAAGAGAGAAAGAAAGAGATTCGGAGTAGTTTAGGCAAAGTAATGACTAGTAACTTGAGATCTGAATAGTAACTTAGTCTAGAGAGAAGAGAGACTCAAAGCTTGCTGGTTATTAATCTTGTGGAGTTTACAATATATAGAGAAGCTACAATAGGTTAAACGGATGCAAGACCAAAGCATGTGAGGTCAAAGGAAGAAGGGGAGCGTTCATTTGAACCTATGGACCATAAAGCACACACGCTTGATACCAAGCATCTTGGACCGAGATTCCATTGCCTTTCCAGCTCATACCAACTGGCTCAGCCTTCCCTCCTTATCCCTTAACGGTCTTAAACACTATTCAAACCTTCCACCCGCCTTAGCCACTTCCAAACCAATGTAGACATTCTCTTTTACCCACTCAACACTTTTATTACCTTACCATGGTAACTTTCATTGTTACCATGGTAACTTTATTTTTACTATAACTCAACAGTTCCATGCCCAGACCTTGAGTGTCCCTTTCTCTTGAGTTGTTGTTCAACCAGAATGGCTTTATGCAGCATCTCCTCAAGCTCTACATAGTGCTGCATCTCCACATTATCTTGTATCTCACGGTCTAAACCACACAGAAATCTTGTCATTGTGGCTTCTCTATCTTCAGATATATTAGCCCTCAGCATGAGTAACTCCATCTCTTGGTGATATTCTTCTGAGTCTTGGGTGAGTTTTCTGAGTCTGTGATGCAGATCTCTATGGTAATGACTTGGAACAAATCTCTTGCGCATGATAGCCTTCATCTCAAGCCATGTCTCAACTGGTTCTTCACCATTCCTTCTTCTGTTTGTAACATACTGATCCCACCAGCTTAGAGCATAATCATAGAACTCAGTAGCAACTATCTGGATCTTCCTTTGGTTGGTGTACTGCTTACATTGAAAGACTAGCTCTATCTTCTTCTCCCATTCAAGATAAGCATCAGGATCGGCTTTACCATGGAAAGGAGGTATCTTGATCTTTAATCCAGCAAGCTCATCTCTCTGATTCATCCTTCCTTCTGGCCCACGCCTCTGCCTTCTTTGGCTTTGCCTAGACGCTGAACTGTAGTGTTCATAATAGTTATCAGTCTCTTCTGAACCACCATGTTCTGATCGCCTATTGTGGTTCCTTCTTCTCGGGTTTTGCCTCTGATCAGCAGCTTGTGGTTGGTATTCTTCTCTGAAAGCTTCACGTCTTTCATCTAACAACATTTCCATCCTTTTTTTCATGGCTTCCAGCAGCAGTTTATGTTCCATGCTTACTCCTTCTTCAGACTCGTCCCCCATTGTACCTGATGCAGAACAACACTAGACAAGTAAGTTGTTCTTTTTTTTTTTTGTAAAAATTCAGAAAGAACTAAAACAAACTGTAACTTCTTCAACAAGGATCCGAAAAGCAGAAACAGAATCAAAGAACCCTAGATAATCAGATTTCGACCTAAGAACACAAATCTACTCTAAAAACAGAGAAAGATAAAAAGATTTAAAACAACTAATGATCAGAACAACAGATCTCACGATTTCAGTCTCAGAATAAACCCTAGTTTGATCAAACACAAAATAGTATGAAAATCACTACAAGAATACTTGTTTATAGCCACGACTCAGCCGCAAACATCTTGTGGAAAGGCAAAAATAGCCACAAAATATCCAGAAATTTGCCACGATGGGAAATTGTGGCTAGTATGTAGCTTTTTTGTGGCTATTTAGCTACAAAATATGCTTCGTGGCTATTCGGAGACGTAGAGCTACAATTGGCTACAATTTAATTTGTGGAACTAAATACCCACATTTTTCCACAAATGTAATTTGTGGTTAATATATCCACAAAAATATCCGTAGCTAACCGGAGAAATAAAATAATAATCACCAACTAAGTTGTGGTTATTTGTGGCCATACAAAACACACGGCTTCAAAAGCTTTTTGTCGCTACCCGCAGCAAAAAGTATAACATTATCTTTGAAGCTTGTAAACTTGTTCGCCAGCTTTGGTATACTAATCCATGACAATATCCCTTGTTCTTTAGGCTGGTTTTGTTGTTGTTGTTGTTAATGATCATCATCATACTCGATGTCAATATCATCTGTAGATCTCAAGAAGAAGAACTAATATTACCAATATTTACCTTGCTTAACGAGATTATCTTTCACAACAAAACCCCCACCAAGTTTAAGCAACTAATGTCGTATATATGTTTGTATATATCAGATCAACCACCACAAACAAGGCATGAGATTAAGCAACAAAGAAACAGTGCATTAAAACTATAGTTTACACCAAACATGGTACAAATGAAAGCAAAGAACCTTAGCTTGGTAGGTTGAAGAAAGAAACAAAATCATTGTTGGCGAGATGCCCAATGAACCAATGGTTATGGATTCTTTTTTGTTTTCAATACAAAGAAAGTTATATAGATTGATTTTTAAAAACTATACAGCATTATGAAACCGATATGTGAAATTTAACCACATAACAAAGTAAACACAAAAAAGATTCTAATTGTTATGTCTTAAATTTTCACAGACAAAAACTAACAGAAAGTCAGTAACATAATCTAGATTCTCTGCTTATTTGTGGTAAGAGGCGAAGCTGGAGAAGGGTTGGTTGCATCAAAGGCTGTCACTCCTCTAGCTTCACACAAAGCAGTGAGCTGCTGGCTCATCAACTTGACCATTCGAGTAAGATTAATCACCTCATTCTCTAATTGAGCTTGGCAAGTAAGAACAACAGCAGGTTGAGCAATGTGATCATAGTTCTCCATTTGTGTTGTTCCAAGTCCAAACAGCCTGTCTTTGTGTGGCTTGACCACCTACAAAAGCAGAAAAGCAAGAAACAAAATCACTAGACACATACAATGAAACATGACACTACCACAGCCATAACAAAATAAAAACTTTCAACCATTTACCAATAAGCATTAAGAACCACAGCTATGGAACCACAAAATAATCTAACATTTACCTTGTAAAAAGCCTCATCTCTCAACTCCATCATCTAAAACATAAGGCAAATGGATTAAAAGACCCACATGAAAAATATAGAAACACAAATAGACAGAATAAGACAATAAGAATAATTTTATTATACCATTTCATATTTGACCTTGGCATAAGATTTAGAACCTGAGATGTGTTGATGTATGGCAGTAGCTCTTGCGTGGCCTCTTCTTCTTGGTGGATGCATACTACAAGGATTTCAAAGACATTAGCACAATCTCTGAGATAAAACTATCAGTCAAACTTTGTCCAAAAAAAATAAAAAGAGCTATAAATGAATGAATCGTTTAGTTATCAGACTGATAGAAGATAAGTAAATGCAGAGACTGAACCACCACATCGATTTCGAAATATAAACCCTAAATTGACTGAAACACACAGAGAATGAATGAAGAGGTATATGAAATTAATCCCAAATCTATTAGAATATATAAACACAAATCGATTGAGAAAATAAACCCTAAAGTGTAAGATTTTGTAAGAAGAACCTTGATATATATTGAGAGTTGCTCTGTTATGTTTGGGAAAGTAAAGTGGGATTAAGGGTGATATTTATCGGAGAAGGAGAGGGTTTTGGTGGAGAAGAAGAGTTTAGAAATAATTACGCGGCTTGAGATTGGGAAAAGATGTTTGGCGCAGATTGAAACTTTTGGTAAATAATTACGCGGCTTAACAAAATTTTGGGGTAAAAAAGATTTTCTCCAGCGGCAAATCAGTTGTGATTTATTCCTGATACTCTTCATTTCTCACCTTTCTTTTTTTTTGATTTTTTTAAACATATTCCTCACCTTTCTTTATTTGTTTGCATTGGTACTCAATAAGACACGAGAGCCTTATAATTTGTAAGATTCTATAAATATTGTAATTTTAATCAACATCTCCAAACTAGCTAATTTTTCTTCCTACAGACTTAATTAATTAATGATGAAACAATGAATCCAATCTACAGCAAACCACAAGAGAACTATAATATCAGAGCAGAATATTTAGCACGTAGCCTTACCAGCTATAATCAACTCCTTTTAAGTAGGCTTAGGCATCTTACTCGGACCCGAAGATCCGGACCGGAATCGACCCGAAAATACCCGACCCGAACCCGACCCAAACCTGACCCGAAAATTTACAAGTACCTAAAATTTTTTTTACCCTAATAGATCCATACCCGAAAAGAACCGACCCGAATAGACCCGACCCGAATAGACTCGACCCGATAAGAACCGATTTGTACCCGACTTATAAACATGTATATCCAAAACTATTATTTTGTGTTATGTTTTATATATCTATACTATACTATTTTAAAATTTAGTTGAAAGATATTTTGTTAACAATATTTATTATTATTTGTAACATTTTTAAGTAATATAAAATTTTAAAATGTAAAATTTAGAGTTTAAAAATGTTTTCTTTAATTATTAATAGTTTCAATTAAGTTATTTTATAAAATTCTAGATATCTATGAAAAATATTGACTGAATTTGAGTGAGTTTGAGTATGTTATGTATTTTTTAGATTCTAAATACCCGGATCCGATATGGATCCGAAAATTACAGGTATTTTACAGGTATTGAAATTATAGACCCGAACCGACCCAGACCCGGCAAGACCCGACCCGGACCTACCCGAAAAATCATAGGTATTCATATGGGTCTGAATTTCCAAGACCCGAAAGACCCGGACCCGACAGGACCCGGCCCGAACCCGATCCGAGGACCCGGATGCCCAGACCTACTTTTAAGCAAAAAGCTCAATAAGAAAATGGGGTTTGGGTAGAGAAAGAGAAGTGGACTGAAGCTCCTTTGATGCGTTTAGGAAAGATATGAAAAAGAATTACTCTTCACCTCATTGTATATTTGATAGCAATGCCACAATAGTTACTTTAGACTCTAGAGAGGTAGTTACGTGAGAGAGCTTGTGTTAATGCTATCCTAACAATTGCCTGGCAATTACTACAACTGATTAGACTTAAACCAACATGTCTAGGCTAGCCCCGGAAAAAAAAACGTGAACCGAAAAACCGAACCGGAACCGAAATATCCGAAATCGGACAAAAAAATTAAATATCCGAATGATTCATATATTTCTATATTCAAAAAATTGAATCGGAACTGGAACCGAACTTAGATTCGAACGGGTATCCGAATATCCGAAAAAATAAAATAATTTTTTTAATATAAGATAAAATGACATCAATACCATTTGAACCCAAATTGGATACAAAGAGTAAGTATAGTCTTACTATCATACCACATTATGTTTTATTTAGTCTTATATTATAAATATATATAGTATTTCTATATTAAATACGATAAATATTTACAAAGTTAATGTTTTATTGATTCGAACTCTTGTTGGATTGACGAATATGTAAGCGTGTAAACACTAGACCATTTAAATTAACATATTAACTAATATATTTTGTATATGTATATTAGATTTATATATTAAACGAGTATCCGGAACTGAGCCGAAACCGAACCAAAACCGAACTAGAACTGAACCAAAACCGAACCGAAATCTCATAAGTACCAATTGGATATAAGAATGATTTATCCGATATACCCGGAACCTAATGGTTCCTATCCGGAACAGAATCGGATATCCGAGTGCCTAAACCTTTGTCTAGCCATTAGTTTCACTAAACTAGCATATTCTTAATATATTCAGATTTATTTTATTTTTTACCTTTTTTATAGTGTGTTTGAATCTTTTTTTAAGAAAATATAGATATAAATATGTTTTTCTAAAGTTTGATTAAATGTTTCATCATAGATTATTATTACACAAAACAATATATGAAAAATCAAATATCAAGATATCACTTGATTGTAGGATGCATACGAGCAGAGGTTTTCTTTTTATCAAAGAATATGAGTAGAGAAGCCTTTTTAAAAAAAAAAAAAGAATATGAGCAGAGGTATATCAATTGGTTACACGAGTCACGGGTTTTGAATATAATCCACACAATGTCTCGTTACATCACTTTGTCATGGTCTTATGGGCATATTCAATTATTCTAGAGATAGTGCTGTGGCTGTATGGCATAGTTACATCACGATTTCCATCACTCTTGTCCGCCATTTTGGTTTTATCTGCAGTCCAATCGAGAAGGAATATATTTTCTATGGCCACGAACAAATTTGTGGCTCTCCGTAGCTAAAAAAAGTTTATAAATTGTCTATGCTCTCAACATTGTTGCATAACACGAGAAACTAAATTCACTTCAAAATGACCGATTTCTTTCAATCCAGAGAATGGATGTATAAACGGTTAAAACGTTCTGATCGAAGTCTGTGTGAGAAATTTATTGAGGGTATAAACATTTTCATTTCTTTTGCTTGTAATCAAGCTTCTTTTTTAGAGTGTGGGAATTTATTATGTCCATGCAAGAAATGCAAGAATCAAAAGTGGCGTGATGTTGATACTGTAACGAGCCATCTTATGTTGAAAGGGTTTACTGAAAATTATTATGTGTGGACACATCACGGAGAAAATTGTCAGTACGACGACGGCGAAACATCAGGAAGTCAGCAAGTAGTGGCAAATGAAGCGTGGGGTGATTATTCTAATAATGTTCAAGTCGATCAACACCATGATCCTAATGAAGATTTCAATATGTTACCTGATGACGCCACTTTCCCTGGAAACTTCGACGAGCCCATTCACGAAGAAAATCACGATGCGGTTTTTCAAGCTTTAGGAGCGGCAAATCAACCTTTATACGAAGGGTGTAGTGATGGAATTTCTCAACTGTACCTAGCTTCAAAGATGATGAATTGGAAAACCAATTTTAATATCCCGGAGGAATGTTTGGATGAAATTGCTGAAACATTTCAAGATGTTCTCCCAACGCCTAACAGAGCACCTAAATCCTACTACGAGACAAAAAAGTTGACACGGGCTCTACAATTGCCATATCATAAGATTGATGTGTGCGAGGATAATTGTATGTTGTTTTGGAAAGAAGAAGATCGTGACTTATCAAGCTGTCGGTTTTGTGGAAAAGACCGGTATGAACCAAACGTTGGCCGATCGGGGAAGAAGATACCCAAGCAAAGAATGTTTTATCTACCAATTTCGGAGCGGTTGAAGCGGTTATACCAATCAGAGACGACAGCTTCACAAATGAGGTGGCATGCTGAACATGTATCCCCAGAAGGAGAAATGCATCATCCCTCAGATGGAAAAGCATGGAAGCATTTTCAAAAGGAATATCCTGAATTTGCTTCGGAGAGTCGCAATGTTTATCTTGGTTTATCAACCGATGGCTTTAATCCAATTGGTATGAATGGGCAATCACATTCTGTTTGGCCAGTCATTGTGACACCATACAATTTGCCTCCCGGGATGTGCATGAAGAGGGAATATTTCTTCCTCTCTATATTAGTGCCAGGGCCAAATCATCCAAAGAAAAGCCTGGATATATATTTGCAGCCGTTGATTGAAGAGTTGCAGAACTTGTGGAGTGTCGGGGTGGAAGCTTACGACGTCGCACAAAAAGAAAACTTCACGATGCGAGCAGCTTTGATGTGGACGATTAGCGATTTTCCGGCATATGGGATGTTATCTGGATGGATGACACATGGCAGGTTGGCTTGTCCTTACTGCATGGATGAGACCACATCGTTCTGGTTGCCAAACGGAAAAAAGCATAGTTGGTTTGATTGTCACAGAAGGTTTCTGCCTAAAGAACATCCTTATAGACGGAATGTTAAAGCTTTCTTAAAAGGAAAAACTGTTCATGACGATCCTCCACCATGGTTGAACGGAGAAGAAATTTTACGTGAAAGGATAAACAATATACAAGGCCTACAAAAAACGGTTGTTTGTGGAGGCAAAGGGCATGACAATCCAGCTCGAACAGTTGAAGGATATGGTGTTTACCATAATTGGGTGAAGAAGAGTATCTTTTGGGAGTTACCATATTGGGAGAAACTACTTCTTCGACACAATCTTGATTTTATGCATATCGAAAAAAATTTCTTCGACAATCTCATTAACACAGTGTTAAATGTTCCAGGAAAGACAAAAGATAGCATAAAATCAAGGATGGATCTCCCTTTATTTTGCAGAAGACCTGAGTTAGAGATTTCCCAAGATGGAAGCGTGCCTATTCCTATCTTTAGATTGTCGAAGGAAGGCAAAGAAAAATTTCTAACATGGTTGAAGACTGATATTAAATTTCCAGATGGGTATGTTTCAAAGTTTTCACGTTGTGTTAATGTGGAGAATGGAAAAATATCAGGTCTAAAAAGTCACGATTGTCATGTAATCATGCAACGACTTCTCCCGATTGCGTTTACAGAATTACTTCCAAAATCTGTTCATACGGCAATTTCAGGTATTAAATATTTTAAATTATTATATTTTTAATTATTTTTCAAATGAGATATAACCTCAGTACTCTTATTATTGATTTTTATTTATGTAGATATTGCACTCTTTTTTCGAGATATATCTGCCAAAATTTTGAAAACTGAAGATGTTGCCACATTGAAAGAAAATATTGCGGTTATGCTTTGCAATCTTGAAAAAATATTTCCTCCAGCGTTTTTTGATGTGATGGAACATCTGCCTGTCCATCTTCCAGATGAAGCTGATTTAGGCGGTCCAGTCCAATATAGATGGATGTATCCATTTGAACGATACATGTATCATCTGAAAAAAAAAGTTAAAAACAAAGCTCGGATTGGAGGATCGATTGTGGCTCAATGTCTGAATGAAGAAATTTCTTATGTGACATCTAATTATTTGGCACCTTCAAAAGTTCAAGACCACGTTGAAGATGTCAACGAAATTAGATTCACCTACAAATATCCTGAGGTTCCGTTAATGTTCCACCAAGTTGGGAGAATTAGTGGAAAAGCAAGAAGGGGATGGTTAAATGATGAGGATTATAATATTCTTCAGACATTTTTGCTGCTTAACTGTCAAGTGTTTGAACCGTACGAAAGGTATTTTATTTTATTAACAATTAAGTACTTTATATATAATAATGTATATATAATTTTAAGTTATGTAAACAATACTATGTGTGCAGGATGTTTGAAGATGAGATGATGCGTGACAACCCACACATTACTCCAGATACAATGACAAGAGTAAAAGATGAAAAATTTGCAATATGGTGTAAAGATTATGTAAGTACTAAAATTTAAATACACATTATATAAATTACTGATCTAACCTATTAGATTAAATGTATATGCAGATCAACGAGGCTAGCAAGTCATATGTATTTCCATTGTGGATGCTTGAATTTGTTCAAGGTCCTAGTCACCAGTTTACATCATGGCCTATGTATTATTCGAGGGGGTATCATTACCATACACGAAGTCACGGAGAAAATAGGAAGACGATGAATTATGGTGTTTGTGTTCATGGAACTACAGAGACTGAGTATTTTGGACTGATCGAAGAAATATTCATGATAGAGTATCATGGTGATGTTGGGCTAAAAGCCATGATTTTTAAATGTCACTGGTTCAACATCGATCAAGGAATACGAAGACATCCGTCAGGTATTATTGATGTTTGCCCACAGATGCATTATAACAAGTATGATCCTTTTATATTACCAGAACAATGTGATCAAGTGTGCTATGTACCTTATCCGCGACTACGGCAAACCAGAGGAGAATGGTGGGCAACAATAAAGATTACGCCAAGAGGTTTTTGTGAAACTAAAGAAGTATCTCAATTTGCTGTACAAAACAACATTGTTGACCATGTGATACCAGCGACTGATATTGTGCGAGTCGAAACACACGCAGTCCAAGATACTTCTGATTATGAGCCAATGTCAACTATTAATCCAGAAGATGAGTATATCTCTGAGGTTGATCGTGTTGATCAATATGATGAATATTCCGACTCCGATTCACATTCGGACTAATAATATTGTATGAATAATTTTTTTTAATAAATAATGTTGTTTAAAGCTATTTAATTATATAGTTTTATCAATTATTTTTAACTAAGCATTCTGCTCGCATTTTCGCGATTAATAATTATATAAACATATATATTATCAATTCAAAAATATTAGAATAAATTATTTCATATTTTTAACAAATTTAATAAGTAGTTAAATATTAAAATATATAGGATAATTGTTTTATTCTAAAGAAAATAACAAATTATCAGATAAATCACAAAATTATTTATTAAGATTAATAATTAAGCAAAAAATACGATTAAACCTAATAGTTTTTATTAGGTAAAATAAAATTGAATATAATCACGAGTCACACATTTGAAAGATCTAATGATAAATTAAATATTAACTATTTACAGATGATAAAGTTTCTGAGTATAAAAATAATAATATTTTATTACATAAGTAAACTTGAAAACATTTATCTATACATAAAATTATATTTTTATATAATGAAGATTTTTGAATCAAGGAGACTCTTTTTTATTATTTATGGCTAATTATATATTAATAAATCTAATAATCTATTAAAGTTAATAAAGATAGTGATAATTATAAAATTACTATAAACTATTTTTAGATAATAATAATTATAAAATTATTTTTAAATAATGATAACTATATAATTAATTAAAGTCATTTTTAATTTATAATTAATAATATATTAATTTATAATTAATTATTCATTAAGGATAATAATATATTGAAAACATGACAAATAAACAAAAATACCTAAAATTATGGATAACATGACAAATCAGCAAAATCACTTCATAAATAATATTATAGATATATCTAGGCATGAGCGTTTCGGGTATCGGTTCGGTTCGGTTTGGATATTTCGGGTTTTGGGTAGTTCGGGTAGGGGGTTAGAGGATCCATTTACTACTTGACTATTTTCGGTTCTGTTCGGTTCATATAGTTTCGGGTTCGGTTCTGTTCGTATAGTAAAACTAGGAATAAAAAATACCTAAAAAAATTTGGTTCTCTTTTAGTTCGGGTTCGGATTCGGATAGTTCGGATAAATGATCAGTTATTTAAGATAAAATATCAAATAATTAGAATGATTTATATACAAATTTCAGATATTTCAGATTACTTTGGATATTTGGATAAAATTATCCATATAATTTCAGGTAGTTCGGATACTTTATAATTATTTAGTTATCTTCAACTATTTTTGGATACTCTAATAGATTTTTAAATTAAAATTCTATATTTAGTTATGTTATATGTATATAAAACTAATATTATTATATATTTCAGTATCCGTTCGGTTCTCGTTTCGGTTCCGTTTCGGTTATTTCGGATATATAAATATAAGAACCGTTCAAATATTTAAGGGTTTCGGTTCGGTTCTTCGGTTCTGAATTTTTTACCGAGGCCTAGATATATCAATAATTAACTACAAAGAGCTATGTTTAGTTTGTGTTTATCTGAAAACATCAGATTTTAACCGTGAAAATTTCAGGCTGAGGGATATTTTGCCGGGTAAAATTTTTCTTGAGCCACACATGGTTACAAATTTTTTTCGTAGATCATAGAAAATTAGAAAGTAAACCCCAAAATTTTCGATTCCCGGGTAAATTTCTAAATGTTTCGCGGGCATCTACACTATTAAAGCCCGTGGTTAACTCCGCCTCTGTCTAGAAAAACCTAATTTAGTCTACTCCGCCTCTGTCTAGAAAAAAAAGGTCTGCGCCTCTGCCTCCTTCATCGTTTCTATCTAGTACCTTCTCTCCTCTTCAGTCAGTTTCTACTTCCTCTGAGTCAGTCGAATCTTTTCTATTCCTCTAACTCTCTTTCTAAAATCTCTCATCTTCTGTTTAAAGTACTCTGTCCCTCTTTTGATTTCCTTTAGTAGTCGTAGATAGCAATTCTGAGTTTCTGGGTTTTTTTGTTGGCTTGTTATGTTTCGTTCTTATTCTTCATGGGTGTGGGTTTTTAAGTTTCTTTGTAATGTATGTTCTTAGCTTTTGTCATTTAGTGTTCTGTTCCCTGAATTTTTAACATCTCTTGTTGGTTTGCAGATGAATATCCACAGGGCTTCTTCATCCGAGACTGCTAGCCGTATGCGACAAACTCGTCTACCTCCTGGAGCGACCAGACCAGCTACTTCCTCTGCTTCTCGACATCCACTTCCTAGCTTGGCAGCAGTGATGAGTTCGCCAGAGAGACGTAACATGCCCCTTCTCCATCCAGAAAGGCTCAATGGAGGTTTATGGTGAGTTCAGTGTTTGTTGGAGTAGCTCTAAGTATAAGGGTGATTGTTGTTGTGGAACATTTGTCTTCGTCTGAGATTACATGACCACTTGAGCTTTTAAAACAAAGCGTTTCTCGATTTTTTGTTTTGTTTTGTTTTGTTATAGTAGGTATAAGTATATGGCTGTGTCTTCTGGTTTAGGTTTACATTTGGTCTTAGCCTCTACTAACAAAATGTATGCTAATTGCTAGAGATACCAATAAAAAAGTTATTTCCTTATCATTTTACGTTCTATTGTATTTACTGATGCTAATTCATATAATAATTTGTAATAGGTTTCGCATAGATGATTGCATCCGGAAAGATGTAGTTGCAACATATCAATCAAACTTTTGGGGACCATGGTGGAACTACAATATGGTGCCACAGGAGAAAAAGGATGCATGGTGGACAAGTTTTGTGGTAGATTCCATGCTTTTTGCTATGATTTATAATTGATAGTGATATAACATCTGCTAATTTGTTACGTTTACTCGTGGTTTTCTTGTAGCAAAAATACTATTGGGATCCTCAACATCACAGTGAGGTTCGTGCTCACTGGGAACAAATTCACCAAGACTCGATCAGAGACCTTGTGAGCAAGAGGAGGAGATCGGAAGCAAAAAAGAAGCCAGATTTCATTGGCCTTGCAGACTGGAACCTGATGCTTGAGATTTGGGAGGAGGAGCCACACCAAAAGAGGAGCAAAACGAATTCAAAGAATGCCACTTCAAATCCAGATGGTTTAGGCACCCATCGTCATACTTCAGGATCAAAAAATCACACTCGTATTGCTTATGACATGGTTAGTAAGTTTTTATTCAATCAGCTTTATTTTCTATAATAACATATCTGATTTATTAACAGCTTTTACCATTGTTTGTTGTTAGACGGTTGAGGCTGGAGGAGTAGCACCTGCATTAACTGAGTTAGTGCGTAAGACCCACACTTCAAAAGATGGTACCTGCATTGACAAACGAGCAGAAGCTTATGTGAAGGCAGCTGAATCTCTTGCCTTGGAGCGATCAGAAAGTGCCACTGCCACCGGTGAAACTGCCTCTGCACCCTCTACCCAGCAGCTCAATGCTGCTTATATTGAAGTAAGAAGCTTATATTCTAACTCATATCCATCTTTATAGCATACTGCTTATATTATGAAGTAAGAAGATTGTCTTGGTTATTCAAAACTCATGTCTTGTGTTCAATATACTGTCTTGTAGATGGCAACTAATACTAAAGGTAGAGTCTATGGACTTGGTTCACTTCAGTATGTTGATGCTGAACCCAAGGAGTCTCCGGCAGCTTCTCTACGCAGAAGTGTTGGGGTTGATGGACGATTGACCACTGTGGAGGGTGTTGTGACTGGGTTGAAGGATGACTTTTCTGGGTTGAAACAAAGCATCGACTTGCTGTTGAGGATGAATGGAGTGGATCCTGTTACACATCAACCTATTCCACGTGAGAGTGGTGCATCTGCTCCAAGTCCCCATTCTGATTCTAGCCAAGAACTTAACCAGCACTCTCCCACTCATTAGCACTTTACTCTATCCTAGGTATATTTTGTTTTTTCTTGTGCAATATTAATCTCTAACATCCTTAGATGTCTTTTGTAAAACATCATTAGATGTCTATTGTAAAAACATCATTAGATGTCTTTTGTAAAAACATCATTAAATGTCTTTTGTAATTGAAGAACATCATTAGTTGTCTTCTTTAATTTAAAACTGTAATGATAGTTTGAATGATTTAGCTAATTATGTTTGTATTTCTATAATTAACTTTTCTTTTAAATTTAGCTTTTAAAAATTTAATAGAACACAATTTAAAATTTAATTTAGCTATTTGCATCCTGAAAGCAACAATTAAGTCTGTGGCTATCTATAGAAAAAAAACTACAATTCATTATGTGACAAATGTTGTTGCTAAAATAGCTACATATTTAACCGTGGCTATCTGTTTCTACAATCCACAACTATGTTTGTGGCTATTTGCAGACATCTTCCATAATTTAATTGTACTTTTTTGTGGATTAAGTAACTACAAACGGGTTGTGGCAATTTGTGTCTCACTATCCGCAACTACGTTTGTGGCGATTTGCGGATATTCTCTACAATTTATTTTGTAGCTATTTGTGGATTATGTAACTACAAACTAGTTGTGGCAATTTGTGTCTCTTATTCTACAAGTATGTTTGTGGCTATTAGAAGATTTTTCTACTGTTAATCGGTGTGGCTTTTTGTAGCAAAATATCTACGGAATGCGTTTGAAGCTATCGGTGGAATTAGCCACAAAATAATGTTTGTGGCCGAGTCGCGGAAACACATCCGCAAATAGCCACGCTTTTCTGATAGCCACGAGCCCATAGTCACGAATTACTTTTGTGGCTATTCGTAGCTAATAATGAAATAGCCACAAATATTAGGCCCTAGCTACAAAAAACTGTTGTGGCTATATCATATTTTTCTTGTAGTGAATTCAAAAAGAGATAAAAGAAAAACGACAACCTCCCTACTCCAAAGTGCTCTGATACCACATAATATACCCCTAGGATGCTGCTTTGAAGTAGATGGGATAGATCCTTGTCAAAAACGAATTCTGGAACTCGAGTTCTTGCAAGGGGATGGATCGAATGGTGACAAAAAGGCTATGGACGAACCCTTGATACTCCTAGGCTGCTAGCATGGATATGACACACCAAACTAGAACCCTTAAGCTCTGGATATTACACACCAGAAGTTGGATATTACACACCAACACTCCAATACTCGACAATAACAAGCAGTAGAGAAAAAAAGAGTTTCTGAATAATGGTTGCTTGCCTCTTCTTAGGGTTTTCGAAACAAATAAATAGAGAGAGAGCCTTGTACAAGCACAAAGTCTCAAAAAAAGGAAAAAGATTAGGGCACACGCTCCCTTTGAACCAAAAAGGAAAGTTTATGGAAAAATAAAACATAACATAAAAAGCATAGTCTAAAACTAGCATAAGGTAGTCTTGGACAGGAATTAGCACCTAGGGGATTTGTTAAGCAGCTTTAGGCCTCGCTAAAAACCTTCCTCCGGAAAACCTCGTGGGACAAAACCAAGAGCAAGGGAAAGAGCTCACCCAAGTACTTGCGTAAGTACTAACTCAGCTTGATGTAGAGATAGCATGAATGGTGATTAATGTGTCTTGAACAATCAAGCCTTGTCCAAGACCTTCTTCTTGTTTCCATGATGTTCTGAGTGTCTTAGTCACCTCCTCATGGAGCTTCTTGTTGAGATGAAGCAATAAAGATCAAGAGAAAGGAGAAGAGAAGCATTTGAATCTGTTTAGGCGCCAGTATGAGTTTACTTGAGAAACAAGTAATTCCGTACAACCAGTTGGCCTTGGGTCTCAAGTAAACTCATCTGCTGATTCATGAAGCTAAGGAGAGTACAAGAATAAATGAAACAAATGAGGATGTCGGCCAGNGAGCCGTTGGAGCTTTGTAGGTCAAATAGTCACATGTGAGCCTAAGAGGGGCTGTCACTTTCACCAAGGCTGTTTGTGCATCTACCAGCCTTGTCCTCATCCTAATTGTTTATTCTTATTCCCTTTGTGCTGAAACTCTTTAAATAACTCTTGTAACATGTTCTAAATTAAGCAAGCAATAAACTATTCAGTTTGCTCTATCTCTCTCTCTCTTCATACGAAATGTCTCTCTCTCTCCTTTATTCTTGCTGTTCTTGACTAATCTCCAGCATAATCTCCCTTTAATACTCTTAATCTTTCATGGTATCAGAGCATACAAGCTCTTGAAACCTTAATCTCTTCACTCTTTTCTGTTCTTCCGCAAATCTACCCTTTTTACTCTGATTTCTTGCTTGTTTCACCATAAACTTTCTCTTTTAAAGTTCTGTTCTATCTCTGGTCGAAATGGAGAAGGTCAAGGTGGTGATTCCAGTAACTCTCAAAGGTGTTAATTACCTTTTGTGGTCAAGGCTTGTCAAGACAGCCTTAGGAGGAAGAGGTCTTTGGACTCATGTAGCTGAAGGCAAGCCCTCAAAAGAAACCAGCCTAG